AACGATGACCGTAATGGTTCATTTACAGTTAAGGGGTGCTACAAGGACATATCTACCCAGTTCGACCAATCTCAAAGACTAACGTGGACTGCGATGTGGAACCTCAACATACCTCGGAAGATCAAGTCTTTTGTATGGCAAGCATGTTCGGGTTGCTTACCCACGGCGGACAGATTGAGAACCAAACGCGTTCAATGCCCAACTGAGTGTCGAATGTGTCAAGCCAACGACGAAACAACACTACACCTGTTTACAGATTGTGATTTTGCCAAAGTTGTATGGAGTTTATGTGGTTTGCAGCTCATATTCCAGGGTGTCAACTCGTTTGCCCAATGGGTAGATCTTCAACTAAAGAATATGGATAAAGATAAATGTTGTTTGTTGTTGATGCTTTGTTGGAAGATATGGATAACCCGTAATGACAAGGTATGGAATAGCAGGATGACATCACCCAGCAGCTTGGTCGAAGAAGCAAAACGCTATCTCTCTGACTGGGTACATATCTATGGATGTGGCAATGACTTACCTACTAACAGGGGCAATTATGTTCAAAAATGGGAATTGTCTTCTCCTGGTTTATACAAATTGAACACGGACGCAGTCGTTTCTACTCTCAACAGAAGCATGGGATTTGGATGGGTTCTTAGGAGTGACACGGGGCAGTTTGTAGCAGCTGAGTGTGTTCCAGGCAATGGCGCTTTCACCCCAAAGGAAGCGGAAGCGATGGCCATTAGGGAAGCTTTAAGTTGGATCAAGAGGTAGGGGATTTCTCATGTGCAAGTTGAATCTGACGCTCTTCAAATTATCCAAAGTTTGATGCAGAACGACGAAGACTCTTCTTGCGATCTTGTTATTCTTGATATTAAAGATATGCTACTTTCAATCCCTTCTGTAGCTATCTCTTATGTTAGTCGCACTGCGAATAGAGTTGCCCATAGTTTAGCTAAGGAAGCTTGTTCTATGTCTGTGTGTTAGGAGTGGACTTCTCTCCCTCCTTCTTTCATTGTTAATCATTTGTACTCTGATTTGAATTAATGTTATCTTTTTTCCAAAAAAAAAAAAAAAAAAAAAAAAAAGAATATAGTAATGTAATTGTTCCCTTCTTAGATGACATTTTATAATTGTACAATTAACTTCTTTTTTTAACTAACGATGGGATCCACTGAAGTCATGGACACCAATAATTTTAAGCCACATTATGGGGAGAAATATTAGGAGAAAAATATTATAACTAATGGTAGGGCCACTCAAGTCATGGACAGTAATATTTGTTTTTTTTTTTTTTTGAAATAATATTTGTTTTTTTAGGCCATTTATGGTGTCTGAAGCTAGGTTTAGGTTTTATTTTTATATTTGGGCCATTTATGTAATGTTGGGTTGCAGAAGGAAATTCTGATTTGGACCAATTTTATAAATTGCATATGTACTGTTAGGCTATTATTTTGGATTTTGGCCTTTTGATCCATAGCTTAAATAATTACAATATATATACTCCGTATATTGTAATTTTGCTAATTAATTGATTCAATTCACACTTTAAAATATTGTATCAGTTGTTAATATTATAATATTAAAAGTTAAATATTTACACTCATATTCCATCATATCTAAGATTACTATTTAAGTTTTAACTGAGATAATTCCATGTGATTCTCTCATATGCAATGACTATTAACAAAAATAATTAAATTTTAATCATGACCATATATATATATATATATATATATATATATATATATATATATATATATCTACTATCTACTATACTAATAAGAGCCCAAGAGAGTTAGGCTTATAATGGGTAGAAAAAATGGCGGTCAAAATTTTTAATCAAATGAATGGCTCAGATTGATCATATTTTAATTTTTCGTTAAGATTTCCTAATTTATCCTTAATGAATGTGATTTTCCGTTAACTTTTCCGTTAAATATTATCTTTTCCGTTAATTTCTGTTAGTTCACCGTTAACTTACTCATTGATTTTAATATGAATTTAAAGGTCTTAGGTTCGAACCTCATTCCAATCAAAGTTGGCATAGTTAGTACTCTATTTTACTCTTATTAAATTAATTAAAAATAATAATTTAGTAGCTACAACAAAAAATAATACATATCATTTTTTAATTTAGAATTATGTGTCTACAATGCCTTTATTCAAAAAAAATTATTCATTATCAATAAATTAAATAAGAGAAATAATTTCATTAGTTATATTGTATTTATTTTTCTCCAATATAAAAATTTTTTATATTCAAATTCATCAATTGATTATATTTGCTACATTGTCCCTACAATGTCTTTATTAAAAAAGTAATTCATTATTAATAAATTAATTAAGAGAAATAATTTTATTAGTTATATTGTCTTTATATTTCTCCAATGTAAAAATTCTTTACATTCAAATTCATCAATTGATTATATCCACACATTGTCTATTACCTTTTTTTGTGCACTATTTTTTTAAATTAAATATCAAAGTTATAATACAAAATAATGCTATATATTTATTTACCAAGTATTTTATTAATACCATAAAAAAATTTAAAAAATATAATTAATAAAGCTAATCATATTAATTACTTGAAGGATTTGTTGACAAAGAGACTATTCAAATCACACAACAAATTGAAGTGAGAACAACTTCGCAATATCCTTGTTTGACAATCAGCAGTTAGCGGTTAGAGTTAGCGGATTATATTAGCGAATTTGACCAGCGAATTATATCAATGGTTGGTAAAAAGATATTTGAAAAAATTAGTTGTTTAGATTAACATGTAAAATGACCTAAGGGTATGATGATATAATAATAATAATAATAATAATAATAATAATAATAATAATAATAATAATAATAATAATAATAATAATAATAATAATAATAATAATAAGAATAATAATAATAATAATAATAATAATAATAATAATAATAATAATAATTGTTTTAAAAAAATAAAAAAATATAAAAAATATAATTAAGTTAATCATATTAACTACTTGGGAGATTTATTGACAAAAAGAGTATTCAAATCACACAACAAATTGAAGTGGGAAACTATCTCGCAATGTCCTTGTTTGGCAATCAGTAGTTAGCTCTTCAATATAAGTATATACAGAGTATTTAATAATTTATGCCTTAATTTTTATTTTCTCTCCCTTATGTCCTGTATTTGGTTTCAACCATACCTATACAATTATTTTATTGACAACTATAATCAATCTTGACTATATTATCTTACATTTGTAAACTTAGAATTGCCTATTTAAATACACAAATTTAACATTCAATTATCTATGCATGAACAATTCCAATATAATCTTGCATTGATATACTTTAAAATACTTATTTAAAAAATATTGGGCATTATCTCAATCGCGCAATGCGCGTAAAAAATTAGTGTATATATATATATATATATATATATATATATATATATATATATATATATATATATATATATATATATATATATATATATATATATATATGTCTAGAGTTAGTCCACTGAGATTTACAATTTTGATATGTGGTGATTCTAATGAGTGTTGTAATTCTATTACCATACAAATGTTGTTTATTGAAAAGTATTTAATAAATTGTAATAATTGGAATTATAGATATTAATATCTTATATCTGTATAATTTCTATATTTATGTTTATATTGTGAGTACATTTCAATTATTTAATTTTATATTTTTCAAATTTGACATGTTATCCAATAATGCAATGCTTTCTAATATCCTTTTTGTAGTATGTTGTGATGTTCATTATGAACAAACAACTTAGATACTTAGTATTGTTAAAGAAGAAGAAGAAGAAGAAGAAGAAGAAGAAGAAGAAGAAGAAGAAGAAGAAGAAGAAGAAGAAGAAGAAGAAGGATTTGACAATGACTTTAGATATAGTTTTATTCTATATTTTAATTTATTTTTATAAGCCTTATCAAAACATATTTAAAATTTAGACCATGCATCGCACGGGTGGAGTACTAGTTATAACTAATGGTAGGGTCACTCAAGTCATGGACACTAATATTTGTTTTTTTTTTTTGAAATAATATTTGTTTTTTTTTTTGAAATAATATTTGTTTTTTTATTTATAATAGTTTATGTGACTTTTTTTTTATTGATAAATTTTCTAGGAAAAGGGTCAAATGAGTTCTACTACATGTACTCCCAAATTCTACTCCTTCATTTTTACTCCATGACATGGCAAACAAAGATTGACTACTTTCATCACGTGGGTCCCAGGGAATATATCTACATCAAGAATTTGTGAGAGGAAGTAAAAGTCGGGAGTAAGAAGTGGAAGTGCATGCAGTATTTTCCAGGGTCAAATAGGCCCTTAAATTTTATAAATTTTACATCAAAAGTCAATTAGGCACCTAACCTTTTTAAAAGTGCAATTAAACGCTCAAACATATCAAATTGAGTCAATGAAGCCCAAGAATCGATAAATAACCTGTTATTGCAGGTCATTTCAATTCAGGTATCACTTCAGCGACCTCAGGCGAAAATCTGACTACCGGCCAAACCATCTCCGGCGGAAGGCGACCAACTGGTCGCCTTCCCAAGAGAAGAAGGTGACCAGACCTGGTCGCCTTCCATGGAGAAGGCGACCAGTTGGTCGCCTTCGTCGACGGAAGGCGGCCAATTGGTCGCCTTTTGCCGGGGATGGCGACCGGCAATGGCTTAACCGGTCGTCGAATTTTTATCTGAGGTCATCGGAGTGATGTCTGAATTGAAATGACATGTTAACAGGTCATTTATCGATTATTGGGCTTCATTACCTCAATTTAACATACTTGAGGATTTAATTACACTTTAAAAAGTTTATAAACCTAATTAATTTTTGGTGTAAAGTTTAAGGGCTTATTTGATATTTTTTCAATTTTATATAATTAGAAAGAACGGTTCAGTGTTCACTTATAAGTTATAAGTGCTTGTTTCTAGATTTCTAGCTCCTTCTTGGCCTCTTTAGTATAGTTAAAACTAAGTGTGAAATCAGAAATGTGATGTATGGATAGAAACCCCTCTCCATCTCCTTCTCCACTTTATAGAAACACAGTACAGTATCTACTACTCCACCCACCCACCCCTTCCGCCTACCCAAATCTCCTATGCGTAGATCATTTTAGTATCTCTTCATCTCTGCAAATCCAAACACCTCCGATCCGCCCTTCATCCAAGGTTCGTTTCCTCTTTCCTTTTTTTCGCTTTTTTCTCTCGGTTAGTAATAAATAGGATACAGCTGAACTGTCGAGTAGGCTTTGTGTAATTTCTCATGGAAATTCTTCTATCTAATTGATTGCAAACGGAGATGTTAGTGAATGCAGTTTTGGATGAGTGATTGCTCCGTTGTGACGTTTTACAGCATCTTTGTTTTTTTCTTTTCTTTTCTTTTCTTTTTGACTTTCTGTGTGTATGTGTATGAATAACTTAGAAGGATTTATCTCTGAATTCTTTTCACTAATAATTGTGTTGGTGCTTTTCTCTGAATTCTTCGTTCTGAATGAATGCTCCTCCGAGCCTGTGTTACTGTTGTAATCATTAAGTATATGCCAGTGATCAGTAAATTTCATCCAGTGGGGCGAAAGATTAAAATAAATGAGATATTTTGAGAAAAACAATTAATCAAGCAAGGAGATTCAACCTCTTGACCTCTACTACAACACATACATACTTAACTATCTAAGCACTTCATCTTTGAATAATATATAAGGGGTGAGGTGGGTGGCGGAGGGGGGCAGCTGCCCCCATACTGGCTCCGCCCATGCCAGTGATGACAGGATCCAATTTTAAGGAGTTTTCATTTCATAACATTTTTTTCTTTTTATTTTCACTTTCTGGAATAATTTTTAGTTCATGACATAGAACTAATGCAGGCATATACTATAACTTATTCCATGTACCACTGCTTCTCTTGGCACCCCAATGCAAATAAATGTTCACCATTGTGTCAGTAATGTTCACTCCTTATGTTGTAAATGTTTATCACAGCTGTAAATGTTCACCAAAGAAGTGAAAGGCTCAAAGAAAGTTTTACAGTAGTCAAAAGATTAAGCATAAAGAAGAGAATCTGAGAAGGTGAAGAGGATACTAAGTAAGTGGACTTGGGACTAGTGTTGACTATGAGCAATCATGTATGCAGAGCAAGCTAGTAGGGCAAAGTAAAAGAGCCCTGGTCTGTTAAGATTGTTAATTTGCCAATGACAAAAGAAAGGACTGTTTGTTGGAGTTTTGGGACCACAATTGGTCGACTTATAGGGTTTTGGGTTCCCTATAAGATCGCAAATGTATTATCTTTTCTTATTGTACTGTCTTTACTATCTTTGTTCTTTGGGGTATATCGTGTAACTATACCTCTTCTACTTGGATTTCATGTCCTTGGTGTTCTTTAGGAAAACAAATCATAGTAACAAGGGAGAAAGGTTTTAATCTGAATATCTATGTGTATTTATTGATGGAGCATAAACCCTCAACTACCCTTGACTCTCTCTAACTCTCCCTCTCAAGTTGGAGCATAAATATTGATCATGTTCAACTTGTTACAAATACAGTCAATCCTACTTTTACCAAGTCCATAAACAAATTTGCTAGTTGATCACCACTACGGACATGCACCACAGAGATCAGTCCTTGTTGCACCTTTTCACACACAAAATGACAATCTACTTCAATATGTTTGGTCCGCTCATGGAACATAGGACTATTGGAAATATGTACAGCCCGCTTGGTTGTCACACCACAAACTTATTGGCACACTCACGTTTGCACCAACCTCTTTTAAAATGTTGTACCCACGTTATTTACAAGCCGTATGAGCCATAGCCTTATACTCAGATTCTGCACTAAATCGAGCCACAGCACTTTGTTTCTTTCTTTTCCACGAGACCAAATTACGCCCTAGTGCCCTACAAACACATGATACCCTGTCATAGACCTCTTGTCACTCGGCAACCCGACCCAATTAGCATCAGAAAATGCCTCAATATTCATATGCCTGCAATCAACATACAAAATTCCTTTTCCAAGAGCACTCTTCAAATACTTGACAATTCGAACAACCACTTCCCAATGAGTCTGCATAGTGACTTCATAAATTGACTCACCACACTTATTGGAAATGCAATATTTGGATGGGTAATAGTGAGATAGTTTAGTTTTTCCACCAATCTTCTGTACTTCTCAGGGCTATCAAAGATCTCTCCCTCACCCCCCCCCCCCCCCCCGTCCTCCACCTCCCCCTCACCAGCTACAAGCTTGGTACCTTGATCCATGGGTTTCTCACAGGGCCTCGACCCTAACAATCTAGTATCCTCAAGAAAATCTAACACATACTTCCTTAGTGAAAGAAATATACCTTTCTTGGTACATACAACTTCAATTCCTAGAAAATACTTCAAAACTATATCAAAACCATACTTCCACATACTCAGCACATCAAGGTGAGAGTACCCGTGCAAGTCCCAATCAAAGATACTGCCGAAATCTCCCTCACGTGCTGGCGTGTGGAGCTAGAGGTGATTGGCGACGCCACGATGGTAGGGTGATTCCTCCTTTGGCATTGTCTTACTATTCCGACCTTAGCCTAGTACCTCACACTTAGTCACAGGCTTTTATACCATGTTAATTTGAATATTTGTGTGTATTTACCATGGTAGCAAAAATCACGCCTAGGCGGCGCCCGACCGTGTCGAGGAACGTCGAAATCGGCTTCCTCCGCGGTCGAACCCCGAGTTTTTTTTTTTGGCGAAAAACTCCCTTAAAAAATTAAAAAAAATTGGGCGCCTTGGGGGCGCCTAGCATCTTTTTCAACACTGGTATTTACTAATGAAAAGAGCTATACAAGGGAGCCTATTTATATACACTGCTGAGACACCTCAGCCACATATTTTTGAAATTCAAAGAGATCTAAACCCTCAACTACCCCCTCCCCACTACCGCCTTCCTTCTCTCATTTAATAACATGTCAACAATTATTTTCAACTCATTAATGATGATCAATCTTCCAAAGTCTCACTTCTTGGACTTGAATGGTTTTTCCCACATTGATGGGCATGGCATAAGCAAGAACAAGGTCACCTATCTGGGCACTTTTCAGATGGTGGGTACTAAGACGGAGGAGAGCAGTGGTATTCACTGCTATTCTGCCAAATGGGGTATATATATAATCCTATAACCGCAAAATAACCGAAAAACCGATATTTTTTTGAGATCAAACCGAAACCGACTTTTTTCGGTCGGTTCGGTTATCGGTTATCGGGCGGTTAACCGATATTTTGCTCACCCCTAGGCATGGTGGCTTGTTTATCAGTTGCTTATACAGTAATTGTGACAATCTTTCACAATTTTGCATCTCAAATGATGTTACTATTAGAAACCAATGAACTAGTATCACTAAATAGATTGCTTATGGTTGTTGTGTGTTTATGAAATCCAATCTATTTTCAAATCAGTAAGCATACTAAAGTTGTACCCAAGTATACAGTACTGTACACCTAGGAAAACCAAAGAAGCTCAACGGTATACAGATGAGTTATGATTTGCTATCTCAGTGATAGCACCCAAACCAAACCCCAAAGGTTCATGCTTTTACAACAGACCTCAAAAGACAACTAGGAATGTAATACATGATAGTGATTTTTTCCCCATATTTATGATTATTTCCTTGCTGTACTTGTTTTTTCTCTTCTCATAGTTGACTGCTTTGAGCCACAAAAAGATGAAATGCTTGATGTGATTTTACATTCGATGTGAAAAAGATCTTTAGTTTTTTAACTGTGGACTTGTGATTTCTATTATTGTGTTTCTTCCACTTCAATATAACAGGGGATCACTTTACTGTCCAAAACCCTATGGCATAGCTTTAAAAGGTTCACACAGAAATGCAATAACCATCAAAAGGACAGTAACAAGTTCTATAGATGCTAAACTTCACATGTGATGGAAAGTGGGAATTTATGTCAGAGCAGTGATGTGATTAGGGGAAGCAGTGCACCTATCACAAGTGAAGAATCAAGTAATTCTGTATCATGTCATAATCTGGAGAAGGAGGCAAACCTGGCAACTTGTAGAGTGTGCCAATGTACTGAATCTGACAAAAGGGGAGATGCTGCACTGGAATTCCTAGGTATTACTCCTCCATCAAGTGACACACAGGATAGAAATTGGGAGGTTAAGCCCAATCAAAACAAAGAAACAAAAGATGTTGAAAATGATTGCAGTGCTAGAATTGAACCTAAAGGATCTAAGTTTGTTGAATTCATTAGTCCCGATGGGGAAGTTTTTGTCTGTAATGCTGATATTGAAATGGGTTTTGATCATAACCAGGACAGTTTAGTTGAACTTGGCTGTGCCTGCAAAAATGATCTTGCTCTTGTACACTATGCATGTGCACTCAAGTGGTTTGTCAACCATGGATCCACCTCCTGTGAGATATGTGGATGTGTAGCTAGTCATATAAGAATTGTAGACTTCAAGAAAGTTATGAGTTCTTTGAAAGAGTATAATGTGCTAAGAGAAAGGACTGTTAGTGGGGAGCCTATTCCGTCACAGATGCAGGAAAACGCTAGTGTTGATCCTGATGCTATTGCAGCTATTCGAAGGCAGAGATTGAGTGAAATTTCATTGTGGTTCAATCCCCATAATAACTTCACAGCTGTTTCACATGTTATTGAACAACCTTCTACTTCTAATATGGTTGAAGATGAAGTCCCCCCAACTGAAAATAGTGCAACCAAATGGGCCGTGGAAGGTACTGGGATCCTCCTTGCTACAGGGCTGCTTACTGTTACTCTTGCTTGGCTCATTGCTCCCCATGTTGGAAAGGTAATCAAAAAGTTGCTTTTACTTTGATACATCCTTAGCAGTGTTATGTGGATGGCTTTGTTTTGGGTCCTACACTCCTACTTTTAGTTTAATTTAATTATTTTTCTGGTTATTTATTTGTAGTAAATTTTCTCAGTATATCTTGCTGAAAAGTTTTTTCTCCGTATACTAATCAAAGGAACAGTTGAATTTACTAACTAGGTGTTCATAATTGTAAATTAAACATGACCTTCCAACATATAGTTCAATGTTTTGGGACTAACTTTGAAAGACCATGTCTCAGTGATTACTTGATGAATATGGACGTATCAAATATCTATAGAAAGCTTTTGAGTTCTAGTTTTAAAAGAATCAAATGGCTCTTGAAATGAAAGTCATAATAGAGTTATTAGCAATTTAGCAGAGGCTCTTAGTTATATACAGAATAAATGTATTAGTTTAATCTTGTTTCAAGTATTGAGATCCCTTCATTTCCTATTCTTGTAACCTATGGCAGTGGTCATATAGTGCCTTAAATTGAGTCTAGAATAGTCTACTTATTATTATAAATAAGCATGTAATGATAGTGTCAAATCAGGGTGAAGTTGTATACACTTTAGTGAGTTATTGATGTATTGCATAATTATGTAATAATCTTTGTGTTTTTTTTTTTTTTTTTTTTTTTTTTTTTTTGTATTGCATAATTACCTGTTTCATCTTTGTATAGCTGTGATGAGTGAGCACATTACATTTGAAGCATTCATTACATAGATTCTATCATCTTATTATGCTAATGTTATTTTTGAAGTTTTAAGTTAACTCTGCATAGCTCTGAAATTATATGTACATTACCTGTGGTGTGACCTCTCCATTCACACCTGTAAAATCCAATCTTTACTTTGCATGCATAGCTACTCCAGCTTGCCCTTTCTCCTGTTGAAATATATTCTAACTGAAATTTAAACAAGAAACTTGTTTATACGAGATTTTCTTATTGCTCCTGCACTCTTTTGAGAAACTAGTTACTCTGACAATATGCTCTTTTCCCCTGCTTTATCTTTTTTTTTTTTTTTTTTTTTAATATTTCCTCTTTTAAAATTATTTTTATTAATCAACTATTCATTGTGTAGAAAACTGCAAAAAATGGGCTGCATATTCTTCTGGGAGGCGTATGTGCATTAACAATTGTAGTCTTCTTTCGCTTTGTAAGTTTCCATATCCTCTTCTTTGTGACATTCCATCATCACTTAGATTGCAGCAGTCAGATATCTATTTTACATGTCATTGCTTCTTTAATCTCTGCTACTTAAACAGTTAACAATGTAAACGCTCTTGCACTGCCGGGGAATAATTATCCTTTTCTGTTTATTAATTTCAATTTGAAATAAATAAATAAATAATTAAGAATACATTTCATAAATGAAATTCCAATACCAACTACTATTACCCTTGTTAAATGCAGTTTGTGTTAACAAGAATCAAGTATGGACCTGCACGGTACTGGGCGATCTTGTTCGTCTTCTGGTTTCTTGTATTTGGCATATGGGCTTCAAGAACACATGCTCATTCAACATGAATATGATACTGCCTTCCTCCATTGCAAATATGTTCTGCTTCTTTGGTTGTGAGTTGATTCAGGTGTTATTGTAAGAAAAATATAAATAAAAATCATATGTTAGTATAGCATTATAGTTTATTCTTTTTGAGTCGGGGAGAGAAAAGCTCCTGATTTTGTTGTTCTACTCTCATTAGGGTTTTTTTTTTTTTTTTTTTTTTTTTTTTTTGTTGTTTCAGTTTACTGGTCTATAGACTACAGATCTAGTGTCTTGGGTAAAGTCGTCATATTCCAGGACTAAAAACTTCTGCTACATCTGAAATTCTCCTCCTTGAGTTTATTTATTCATTTTTTAGTGATTAGGAAAATTTGTAACCAATATTCAAAGGTGCACATTTAATACGTTACCTACCTTACAGCAATGGATCAAACATTCGAATAATAATTGAAATGACTTTTAATATAAGTTATGTAAAAATATCAAATCCAATAGCTTTATGACTTTGATTACTCAATGCATCCCTGAAAGAATTGGTAAAAATGTACATGCACTAAAAAAAATTTTGCCATTACAAGGGAAAAGTGAAATACACTAACACTGTAAAAAACTACACAATTCTCTCATCAAAAGGAAAGGGTTAATACCAGCCAACAAGACCAACAAAAAGGAGACTTAATGCTCCCAGTGCATCCTTCATATGGTGTAACTGAGTTTTTTTTTTTTTTTTTTTTTTTTTTTTTTTTTTTTTTTTTTTTTTTTTTTGAAGCTATAACTCCACTTCAGGACAAGGGCATAACACCGACTTGGGAGAATCAAACAACAATCATATAAATCATCATCAAAGTTTCCAAAACAAATGTATATTCATTGATGTGGGGTTTCATTCAAAGAGAATAATTAATCAACAAAAATAAAAGATTGCAAAGCCAGCCAGGTCTATCTAATATCAATATTAGGCACAATATGCACATGAGAGTTATCATCATTGATTTTACATTGGCCTAGCAAACGTCAGAATCTATGGTCTGACTAAGATATCACCCGTACAAAGTATCTAATTCGCAAACATACATGTTGGCTGTCAAGACTATCAAAAGTATTTACATACAGTACAAGAGACATGATACATATCTAAGGAAGAAGTCATCTAATTGTGAGATGGGATGGGGTGGGAGTTTTGTCAGCAATTAAGCTTTAATAACACGAGACAGCCTTTCAAAGAAGATTGGGCACATACTTGTGCTGAACATTAAGACATCTCTCATCCACTCTGGTGCTATTCTCTCAAAAGTTCCCAATGACGAAACTCGGTACAACAATTCTGGTTTTCCACTTGAGTTGTTTATCCATGTTAAAGTAAAAGAATAACCTGTGAAAAAGGCAGGATGTATTTGGAATTAAAAACAATATCAGCAGTATCCATCTATAACTTAATGGAGTCTAGAAGAAATGATAAAGTGAATTATTGCAAGTGTTGGAAAATTAAATGCTAGGAAAATCATAATATATCACTCATGCGGGAAATTCAAGTCATTGGGTTGGTTGAAGAGATGAGTCCCATAATAAACCCATGCTGTTAATGATGGAACTAAACTCATTGTCTATTAGTACATAAGCTTTTGTAATCATTCTAATCAGGAAATTATGTCTCATCTCTTCATCTCTTGATATTCTATCTTTTATTCTACTTGTTTCCGCCACAGCAGCATGTCAGCATATGGTGGCCATTTGCTAATTACCTTCACGGTACTAGGCAACGGGCTCATGAGTCCCGTCGACGGGCTCAAGCACCCCACTGCCTAGTACCGTGAAGAGACAATGAGTAACAGGACTGCTGAACCCGTCTACATAGTCTCGTTTTTAAAAAAAAAAAATTATTTTCTCAAAAAGCTTATCAAAAAAGCTGCTTTGAACAATTTTTTGAATTTTAGCGTTTTGGAGCAATAAGCTGTTACAAAAAGCTTATTAACCAAGCCATATACAAAAAAGCTATTACAAAAAACTAATTAACTCATATTGACTGTTTGACCAAGTCAAACAGCTAATAGTAGTCAAACAAGCCAAAATTGGCTGATAAGCTATTTCACCAAACAGGGCCGACAATTCAAGGAGAACACATCACATCCACAAATAATGAAACTCAGTAATTATCTTCAGTTTATCTCATCTTCTAGGCAACTTTGCCAAGCATCATTATAGACTAGAGAGTATATATCAAATCTAATACAACATGCAGTACTTAAGGTAAAGAGTAAAATCATTCAAACAGGGACCAAAAGATATGCATCAATGCATCACCTAAAGCATGTTATTTAACACTACTCAAACTAAAAAGCATAACACTTGTATAGAAGCAAGGAGTAATGAAGTTTTTAAAGGCTTTTTAGGGGTAGGTAGGTGTCTGTTTGTCAAATAACCCTTACCCCTAGGTACAACACATTCCTCAGTAGTAACAAGTTGGATCTAAAAAAAAGGTATGAAAGATATGATAACGAGTCATAGGAGCAGAACATTAATGCAGAAAAGTTAAAGATTATTACCACTTGACTCGTGAAGAGCGGAGATAAGATATTCCTCATTTTCCATAAATGGTGATAGTTTCATTCCAACTATGCACCCAGCCAGGTCTTGAAACATGCAGGTTAGATGTTCTGCATCAGTTACCTCATTACCTAAAGCATTCCATCAAAAAAAGTTAGACAGACACAAGATCATGCTTGAACACAAAGATTTAATTCAGTATTAGGATATACCTGAAGCATCCGTGATTCTTCTACAGCATGGAGCCTGAAATTTATTTTATGGTCATAGTAGTGAAGAAGGTGCATAAAAATACTATATCCCACAAATTTTTGCAAGAATAGCACTAACCTCAATCATCTTACATAACCCATTTGTAGGTTCCTTCATGAGGTCATCCAAGTTTTCCTCTGCATCAGATGCATCAACTGGATTTTCATTGACAAGGAGGGATTGCCTACTACGCTTCCTAGTCTTCTTTATAGTTGGGGACTTAAATGCATGATGTGAAACGCCCCCAGGTTTATTTGCTTGTCCATTTTCACCTTCATAATCTTGAGATAAGTTATTAACTTGTCTCTGTTGTTCAAGGCTTTGTAACCTCTCAATTTCCTCTGATAGTTCTTTATCTGCAATGGGTTTGAGGAACCAAAATGTTTCCAAACCATACGCAAATATGAAAATGTGTTTATAAGAATATAAATATTGGTTAGATAGTTTAATGAATGCTGAAAGGATTTATAGGCAAAGCTTATCCTTACTCTTAAGGTTCTCTTCCATCAAAAGATTTTGGTAGCGAATTAGTTGTTCATCTTTGGTGGATCTGCACCAAGTTTCACACTTTTCATTGTTACCAATAATGGGTAAAAGGCAAATCATCCTCAGGAACAGTTACCTTATTGAAGCCAATTCACTTCTCAACTCATTGACTTGCTTAGAAAGTTTGTCTTTTTCACTTCTCAAGTACTCTATCATTTCCTCCGCGGCTGAACCAACAAAGAACCAAACTACCAGTCAACCTTCAGCTTAAGTCAAAGCATTCACTGAAATTGTGTAACTCATCAAAACATGAGTACCATGCAAGTTTTCAACATAACATTAACACCATTACTCATCAGATAACCGATTCATTCAAAAATAACTAGCATCTTACAGCCAAAAGAAGAGAATGGCATACTATTTTGAGAAAATAACCAAAATCTGGAAATTCACAAAACAATGGGTGCACACATATTGTTTAATGTACCGGCTACATAATTCAAAAACTTCTCTTCTTGTTCACGATTCAGCTTCTCCATCTCGGAATCTTTTTCTTTCTACCACCCAAAAAACAAATAATATTAATAAATAAAAAATGATACAGACACAAACCAGATATGAGAAGTTAAAATCCGAAGAGCAGAGAAGAGAAGGAAAAAAAAAAAAGACCAACCTTGAGCTTAGTGTACTTGTTATAGAGCTTTGCATAAATCGCCTCCATTTCGAAGAAATCCACAAAAATAACTAAGCCCTTCAATCAAATATTTTTTTTTTTAAAAAAAAAAAAACTGAATAGTAGCGGTACATGAAAAAAGAAAACCCTAACTCTGCATTCAAGAGCGAAATTTGAAATGGTGAACTGATGAAAATAATGTGCTTACCACCAAATAACCAATGGAGCGTACTTATGTCACTGAGTTAGGGTTTCGAAGACTTGAATCAGATCAGAAATGAGAGGTGAGAGTGAGTGCAAACAGTGGATTGGAGGGAGGGAAAAGCCTTTGTACTGTACACCCACCCTACTTTTTAATTTTTTGAATATCTCTTGGCATCGCCATTCAGATACTTCACCAGAAGACCCGCATCCGGGAATTGGTTGGGTATATATCCGACCCGATACCGCTCATGACCCGTCAACTCATTATGACATGTTTGGTAGAAAGGAATTATGTGAAAATTTTTAAAGTTTGATTGAGAGAAACTCCAAATTTTACTCCTTTTTAAGTGACATGGAAGAGAGAATACATTTTTTATTTGTTTTGATGCTGATGTGTATTGAAATGGGAGAGAGAGAGTTTGCTAAATTAGAAATAAGAGAGAGAATTTGCTAATGAGAGAAAAAGCTGCAAAAGTTGCTGAAAAGGACAGCCTGCACAGCTTTTGATGTCTTTTTTATTCTTTTGATGTCTTTTTTATTGAGAAATTTCTGGAATGGGGTTAGCCTTAGAGTGTCATCCTTAATAATCTTATATTTTTTTTAAGAATTACAATTATACGGATATTTTGAATTTTAATTACTTATTCTTTTTCAATTCTCACATATATCAAATAACTATAATTAAAATTGTCAGTAATTCTATTAATGTCTACTTTATTCTCATTTTATTCATTTTTTACGGAATTACAAACCCCTAATTCCCTCCTTAGAACCAAATGGCATGTTAAAATTCACTAATACAAGTGAGATAAATGTCAAACTTGACACAAATTATAATTAGGTTATTGAACTAAAAATATATGTAATTACAATATTGAATATAAAAAATTGTGCAATTTAATTTTTTTTTTAATCATAGCCACACTTAGACTATTTTTAATTTTTTCTTATTTTTACACATGCTTGCAAAATTAGTAATCCATGCATAATAGGGATTTTTGTGACCCCACTTGATATTAAAAAAAAAAAAAACAAAAAAACAATCACAGCTAGCTAGTGTGCGCCTCAGGCACCAGCATTGCTCAATGAGTGTGTGCATTGCTTGTTTTCCCATTGGACGTGTCATGGTGGCCGCCAATTGGTGGCCACCCTGACTACCTTTCTTCTTCTTCTTCTTCTTTCTCCTTCCTCTCTATTTTTGTTGGATTGAAAAATATGAGCAAAAACTCAACTGTTGGTCTTGCTCTAATGAAATTTTAATGGTGTAAGGGTAATTCTGTTCAATAAAAATGATAATACAATATATGTAGAATAATGTATAACTCAACAAACATAGAAATACATGCATAAATTAAGGGTATCAACATGGATTCACTCTTATAAGTTTTTTAGATTAGATGATGATGTGGTCTAATGGTATCCGGGTTGGACTTCTATTTGGAAGGTTGTGAGTTCAAGCCTCAGTGGAGGCGTTATTGGTTCTTTGTGTTTCAGTAGGTTGAGAAAGTATATGAACAGATACTACGATGTAATAGAGCTAGTAACATTATATTTTAGATTTTGATGATACCAAAAGTGTGAATTTAAGTTCCCTATTTTTACTTAGGATTTTCTTCAAGCAGTTGTTTGTAAGGCTTCGAAAAGTAACTTAAAGATAAATTTTACCAACCGGAAAGTCAACTCACCAGGAAGTAAAATGTATTCGAAAAGTAAACCTACGAGAAGTCAAGTTGGAACAAAACCTTCGAAGAGTCAATTTTTGAAAAGTCAAGCTACGAGAAGTCAAAGTGCCAAAAGTAAAAAGTTGAAGATTCGAAAAGTAGAAGACAAAGAGTAGAAGATTCAAAGACCTAAAAGACTCGAAGTGTACAAGACCAGAAAGTTTGACCAAAGAGTGGAAGGGTCAACCTTGGCCGAATAGTAATGAGACACGAAATGTTAACTTAAAGCGAGAAATTAATTTTCGAAGTGTAAGGATTGACTAAGGAATGTCAAATCCGAAGAGTTGCTGAGGTATGTTGCGAAGAGTTACTTGTCGAAGAGTTAAAGTGACTCCTTGTACACTACTGTTCGAACATTCTTTGAGCAAATAGTATAAAACCTCAAAGTTTAAGAAGAATGTTACCAAGACAAAATGTGTCTTAGGTACATTTCTCGGGGAAGATTTTCCAAAAAGGCCAAAGGTACTTTGTACAGACAAAAAGGTCATAATAAAAGCAATAGTACATCAACGGGTTGGAAGTCTAACAAAAAGCAACTCAAAGCTCGAACCACTAGTCTTTGCACACTGGATAAAAGACGTTTGAAAATTTGTTTTCCTCCAAGGGACAAATTTCAAAGACAGTATATAAATATCCCATTCAAATATGAATGTGGGCTGGCAACTTGAGAATTTAAAGTGATAAGTGCAATCTAAGCTTACAAGTATCATCTAGAGCCAGTGAAGAGAGAGAGAGAGAGAGAGAGAGAGAGAGTTTCAACGATTTATCAAGCTCAAGACTTCAGCAACAAGCTTGAAGATTCTACGCCGAGTCATTAGTTGGAGAAACTTGAACAATCTTTATGTTCAAACCAACTTTCTTTACTTGGGTTAAGTAGAAAGAGGCGGATAACAAGTTAGGCTTGTGAAAAACTTAGACACTTAAGGGCAACTTTGTGATCAAGGCTTAACTGGTCTCTTTTTGTACTTATTGTTATAGTGTAAACCTCCTTGGAGTTTAAGAAGAATAGTGAACGTAGGTTGGGTTTTGGTCGAACCACTTCAAAAATTCTTCTCTCACTCTTTTTATTTTTAGTACTTACTGTTTTAAAGTTTAAACAAACCAAACCTAAATTTTAACAAGATCAAATACGTATAAACAAACAAAATGGGGTAAACATTATTTTCGTTGCGGTACTTTAAAAAAGTTTTAGAAATTTATGCAAGTCTGTTCACCCCTCTCTAGACTTGTACCCCTATTAATCTGACGCACTTAAAGTACAAAATACACGCACATTAACCACACAAATAGAACACCTTCAGAACACAACCTCATGCATGTTAAGCACAAGTCTCACGCATGTTAAGTACAAGTCTCACGCATGTTAAGCACAAGTCTAACGCATGTTAAGCACAAAAACACACACACCTAAGTTTTAAAAACAACTCACATTAAGTACACACTCACGCACATTAAGTACAAAACTCACGCACCTTAAGCACATGACTCACACACATTAAGCACAAAACTCACACACATTAAACATAAAACTCATGCACTTTAAAGTTTCAACAACAACTCACATTAAGTACACACTCACGCACATTAAGCACAAAACATACGCACATTACGCACAAGACTCACGCACATTAAGTACAAAACCCACGCACATTAAACATTACACACTCATGCACATTAAGCACAAATCTCACGCAAATTAAACACAAGACTCACGCACATTAAGTACAAAACTCGCGCACATTAATCACCCGCACAACCGCACGGGAAACACTTAAATGCACCTGAACCTGAACCTATATATATATATAATCATTTTTTGGCGGGAACTATATTTATAACTTATTTAGGAATCCGCACAGCCACAATATTTATTTATCATATCTTAGATCAATTTAAAAAAAAAAAAAAAAAAAAAAAAAAAAACCTTTGTACATTTAGTGGAAAATACCCATAGTCACCATTTAATTCCGCTGATGCCTCTTCAATCTCCAATGGAATTGGAATTAATAACTAACATTTATTTATAATATACAGATACAGATTATAAAATGTACTATAAATAGTGGTCTAATCAGGCTTCAAAAATAATCCTGCGAAAGCTGCTGTAAAACTGTCACTCAATACCTCCTAGCCTCTTAGGTTAGCCAGTTTCCGCACGATGAGAATAATCACATGTATTATAACAGAAAGTGTGATAATTTCTGTTTTTTACCTTCTCTGTACTGAGTTACCATGTAGAGATATTGTTATGGTTACAACCTCTCTGTTTCTACAGCATTTCTATATTGCACTTCATATTTCCTGCAAAAAAAAAATATAATTTAATACTTGTTATTTAAAATATATAGAATATTTTCTATAATTTTGTATATGAAAAAAAAAATTATTGTGCCCTCATTATTAAAAGTACTTTCTGTTAATACATAAGATTAAAAATACAATTAAATTAAAAGTTGTTGTAAATATTTATATTTATGGCCATTAAACTATTTAGACCTTTCAATTGCTTAGCCTTTAATCATGTATTGATGTTGTGTACTTGAAAGGTTGTATATGATCACTATATAAGTGAGTGAAGGTGAATGAAATACTACTGTTGAACTCTAGATAGTGAAGTGTATATTGAGATAGAGAAATACAGTGAATGAATGAGTACAGGGAAACCTACACTTATATACAAGCTAATAGGAAACCCCAACCACTTATTTCAAATTTCAAATGCATAGCTAGGAGAACTCCTCTAACAACCTTCTAAAACTCCCCCTCAAGTTGGAGCATAGATATCAAACATGCCCAACTTGTTACATATATATGAAACCCGATTCTTACACAATCCTTTCGTGAATATGTCAGCCAGCTGATCACTGCTCCGAACGTGTGTAAGTGATATTAGTCCTTGCTCCACTTTTTCCCGTATAAAGTGGCACTCAACTTCAATATGCTTCGTCCGCTCGTGAAAGACTGGATTATTTGCGATGTGTATGGCAGCACAATTATCACACCACAAATCTACCGGTAACTTCACTTCAACACCCACTTCTTCTAAAATGTTACGCACCCAGACTATCTTGCTTGCCACATGAGCCATAGCCCGGTATTCCGATTCTGCACTTGAGCGCGACACCACATTCTGCTTCTTACTTTTCCACGATACCAAGTTACCTCCTACAAACACACAATAACCTGGCATAGACTTCCTGTCACCCGGTGAACCAGCCCAGTCTGCATCGGAGAACGCCTCAACACGCATATACCTGTGATCAGCATAAAGAATCCCTTTTCCAGGAGCACCTTTCAAGTATTTCACAATCCGAACCGCCGCTTCCCAGTGAGTCTGTGTCGGTGCACTCATGAATTGACTAACCACACTCACTGGAAATGCAATATCTGGACGGGTAATTGTGAGATAATTCAGTTTTCCTACTAACCTCATGTACCTCTCCGGATCTTCAAATGGCTCCCCTTCTCCTGTCA